CTCCCCCAATTTGGGTGCACCTTGTCCAGTCAGCTGAGGCCCAGGTAAGAGGGAATTCCTCCTACCTGGCTTCTGGGCTAGGCCATCTTTTTCTTGTTGATGTGCTTATAACACTATCTGTTTCCCTGGATTTCAAGGCTGTCAACTGCAGATTTTGGGACTTGTCAGCTTCCATAGACATGTGAACCAATTCCTTACAATCCCTTCTATGTGTCCTGTCGAAGTCAGAAACTCACTGCACAAAGTTCAGGGCAAATCCCACTTTCTTCCCACACCCCCAGCTCTTCACATACTATCAGGGACACAGGCCTCCAGCTCCTGGCCCGGAGCTGCTGGTAGGAGCACTGAGCCCCACTGAGGTGACTCCAGTGATGCAGCTCCCTGGAGCCACAGGGACAGAGGCCAGAGGAGTGTGGAGCCAGCATGCTGGGCTCCCAGTGGACCCCACCCTGTGGCAGCTGGGACTCAAGTCCCAGTGATGCTGCAGGCTACCCCCTCTCCCTTTTGCATTGTTATACCTGGTGAGTAGCTCTGAGTGGGGAAGGTCAAGCATGAGCAGGCCTGGGATTCTCCCATTTGTATTTGGTGACTAGATCACAAATGGACCAATCAAGTTTGATCTCAGCTTGGGAGTTAATGATATGGATTGAAAAATGGAAGTGCATTGATTAATGCTGACACCAACTATATGTTTGGATTGGAAATGTTAATCAGGCTTGTAAGGTGGGGGGACCCTGAAGGAAGATACAAGGCACAGCAAGAACCAGCTTGATTCATTCTGCTCCCAGCCTCCAAAGAACGATTCACTAGCCAACCTCTAAAGAAAAAGGAGTCGACAGATGTCCTCTGAAGAAACATTGAGCAGATGACCTCTATGGGATTTCAGACCTATAGGCCTCCAAACTTTGAGAGATTGGCCAGTGAACCTGCTTCTGGTCCTGCCTCTGACACCACCATCAAAGAGCGCCTTAGCTGGCGTGATGTCTCAAAAAGTTCTGGTTGCTATTGGCCTATGCCACTAACTCACAAAGAGCTGTTTGTTGGTGTAGGACAATCCAGTAACACTGGTGTGTCTGCAATTGCCTTCTAGTGACCAGTGGTGACTGGCACTTCTGACAAGTGCTAACCTGCACTTCTGACAGGTGACTAGCACTCTTGTGTCTGGCCATCTTTGAGATCTGTCCACCTCTTCTGATTATCTGGCACCTCTCCCACTGCTGTTTCCTCCATTGCTGTCCAGGCTGGTGTCTGCTGCTGCCCGGCCTTCAGACTGTTCTCACCTTGGCCATCCTACCTGTGAGTACCCTCAGCTGCCACCATGAGTTATAACCTGGCACACTGCTGACTGGTGTGCCACCAGGTCAAGCTCTCATTGACAGGACAGCACCATCTTATACAAGGATTGTGGACACAGTCTGGGATGAGTCAGCCAGCCATGTGTGGTCTTAGAAATTCTTTGCTAATCTCCTGTGTGTTAAATCCATCACTGTTGTTCCCTGAGCCTGAGTGGTCTTGCATTTGTTAGTGCATGGGTGGGGATTCACAGACAGTGGCCTCTCCCCACCTTGGTTCTATCTTTGCATTGTTTTACAATTTGTTGTTTCTCTGAAGAACACTTAGCAATACCCCAAAATTCATGATTTTACTGGGGTGAAGTTTCTACTCTTTGTCAGTACATTTGTTTTTTCCTTTCCTGACAAGAAACTCAACATTTCATGATCTGTCTGACTTCTACATAGATCACTGGGATCTGGCACTTTTTTTTTTTTTTAAAGATTTATTTATTTATTCGTACAGAACTGTAGGCCAGAGATGCGGAGGGTGAGAGGATTCACCAGAGACAGAGTGGGGTACAGAATAAGCAGATTGACGAAGTACACTGCTGAGGGGAGCAGAGGGCGGGTCAGGTGAGGTCTGCCTCGCCATGTGCATCTCCTCCAGGGCAGGCTGGGATCGAACTCATGCGGGGATCAAACTCATGCAGAAGTGGCTTAAGCTTCTTTGTGCTGTGCTTTAACCCGCTGTGCCACCAGGGAGGGCTGCATCTGGCACTTTTAACATTGCTTTCACAAACTTATGGAATTTATTTTTCTTGCAATAGGAATGCTGGGTCTACATGGTAATTGACTGCCTTTAGTAATGACCATCTCTGGTCTAGGTAAAATTGGCACCCCTATTTCAGATGTTCCTATTTTAGATGTCAGAACATTGGCACATGTGACCCCACCCCAAAACCCCTCCCCCCAACTCTGCAGGTTGTGTACACGCACCACCAATGCCACGGCATGAACCAGGAATGTCACGATCACTCTTTTCCCTCAGGGTCTGCCGGCGAAGGTCAGCCTCACAGACCTCCAACTCGGGGGGCAGACAACCTTCTTCATCACCACTGGTCACCCTCCTCCAGGCCCTGGTCCTCTCAGAAAGAATGGCTAATGGGTCTTGCTAGAAAGAATGAGATCAGGCTGAGGTTAATGTCTCAGTGGATAGGGCTCTCCATAGACCACTTTACCATCTGAAGTACCATGGTTTGTGAACTGTCTTTAGAGTGGACATGGCAACCAACTTCGTCAAGCCCAGTCTGGGGTGGACTCTGGGTGAGGAAGCACAGGCAGTCTGTGCAGTCCTTGGTGCTCTGTACAGGGTGACAACTGCTAGATTCCATGTGGCCAAGAGTGACTGTGTTCACGATCTTTGGAAGGAGAACTGGTCCTGGCCAGAGCAGATGGCTGTAGGCCAGAAACCTAAGCAGGAGAGTAGAGGAAGCAGGACTGAAGATGGAGCCCTAAACTCAGGAATGGGAGCCACAGAACCCAATAAGAACTAGAGCATAAGGCATCAGACACATCCTGAAGTGTTTCCAGAGAAGAGTCACACTTAAGCTAAAGGCACAGTCACGTGGATCCAAGGTGACAATGTGGTTGTGCTCTTCAAAATACCCCTTGTCACAGGTGGTGTCTGCCCCTGCCTGATGCCTGGAGGAGAGCGAGCCCCCTCCTCACAAAGGCCTGGGGAGTAGCAGAGTCAACACCAGACCTTGCTAGTCCCCAGTCCTGCCACCACCCGGCTACTCACACACAGCTTCTAAAAGCTTTCCCAAACCTGCTGGTCTGTACTCCATCCCTTTTGGCCTCTGCGGGGCCTCCTGGCCTTGTGTTCTGGGAAAGGACCTTCTCTTTCTCCAGAACCCATTTTGCTTTTGACCCTGTAAACACAACAATTTCCCATGTGCCCTCTCTTGTCTCTCTTCCACCCTGAACTTGGTCATCTAAGCAGACCACAGACAAGAGAGAATGCCAGAGATGTATTGTTAGGCTTTCATGCTAGAGAATGAGCTGCTGTGCGTAATTATACTGACCTCATGTGTCTTCTGTGCACCTGGCATCCTTCTCTGGGAGTTAGGGTCTGATTGAAAAAAAAAAAAAAA